GGGATGGCTTAGTGATCGTGCTGGGTGTGTGTGCCTCTGTGGCCTGCTGGGAGCCCTAGGCGGCAGGGGTCAGCCTGGTGAGCGAGACCCGATCTGGTTTGGCAAACCCGACGTCCACCCTGCAACTCACTGCTCTGCTGCCTGACTGGCAGAGCCCCAGGCTCACTGTCCCCATGTCCTGTCCACGGGCATCCACGTGATGTGGCTCTGGGCAGTGGGGCTGCAGCAGCCAGTGTGGGCCGGGCAGAGGTGCCAGCAGCGGCTGGGGCTGGGTTTATTTCCTTGCCTGTGTCAGAGGGGTCTCCTGGGAGCTCCACGCAGGCACGCGGGGGCCCAGGCTGACGGGGCTCCATTACTCTGGGGCTGGAACACCTGGTGCCTGAGGTTGCCGCCAGGGAGAAGAGGAAGATGGCGGCCGTTCCAGGCTCTCGGCTGCCAGGGCTGGGAGGTGGCTGCTGGTGTCACTTACCCTCCCTTGCCACACATTCTCAACCTAGCTGTCAGCAGGGCTGAGATACATGGGGCACCGCGTTTAGGGAGTCTTGGGTAAGCACGGACTAGCAGAGATGTGAGTAGCAGACTGGGACTGTTGCTGTGGATTCGTTCTGAGAGGAGGAGCGTGTGGGGGAAGAGGCGCGGAGTCACCACACAGACCCCGGGAGTCGGATGAAAGCAGGCCTGAGGCGAGCAGCCCACAGAGCAGCCCGCACTCGTTTATATCAGTTGGTGCAGCAGCTTATATGGCCAAGGCAGCCAATCCGGTCAAGGGGCGGTCTATGCCCTAACCAATCACAGCCTATTGCCAGGCAGGCTCCATTGCCAGCAGCCATGTTGGCATGGCCTTCTCAAATGTGGGGCACCGAGTTTAGGCAGTCTTGGGTATGCACAAACTACCAGAGATGTGAGTAGCAGACCCGGACCTCTGGCGTTACCACTGCAAAATGCCTGCTTTCCCGATGAAAGGGAGAAACAGGGCCGGTGTAACCGCCTTCCTCTTCTGCCTGGAGCATGGACTCAATGGCTGGCGCCGGGGCAGCCGAGCTGAGACTGTGATGCCATGAAGAGCATGCCGAGGGCTGGGGTGGAGAGAGCTCTGGAAGACACTGAGGGCTGCCGCACTTGCCCTGGCCCTGTCCAGGCCACACCTACCCTGGCTCGCTGACCCCAGGCAGCGTTATGTGAGAAGCTCACCCTCACTGGTTGAGGCCACTGTTGGCCTGAGTTCTCTCACCTGCTGCAGACTCTGAACCGAGACAGGGGAGGGGGGAGTGCTGGGAGTGAGATGGGTTCCCGGACACAACGCCGTGCTCAGAACAGAGCTGGTACAGGATTGACGCTTCTTGGTACAGGGAGCGTCTGTCCATCCAGGACGGGTCCAGGTTAAGGTCCCACTTTGTCAGGACAGTCCTGGGCCTCAGGACCACCAAAGGTTCATCAAAAGTTCCAGACCCTCATTAACAAACAAGCCATAAAGCAATCTACTTAGCAACAACAGGTTCTTCGGGGCCCCATTGCCTTCAGGATGGAGGCAGCACTGGCCCAATCCCTCCCCAGTCGGTGACTCCTCGAAGGACAGGTGCCCCCAGGGACCCCCCACCCCTCACTCCAACTTCCCGTGAAGCCATCCCGTCAGGAAACATCTGTGTCTCTCTGTTTCACCCTCCCCAAGTTTTTAAGGATTTATTTATACATTTGAAATGCAGTTACAGAGAGAGGAGGAGAGAGGTCTTCCATCCACTGGTTCATTCCCCAAATGGCCGCAATGGCAGGTGCTGGGCCAGACCTAAGCCGGCAGCCAGGGACCCTATGCGGCTCTCCCACATGGGTGCAGGGCCCAAGCACTCGGGACGTCTTCCCCTGCCTTCCCAGGCCGTAGCAGGGAGCTGGGTCAGAAGCAAAGTGGCCAGGACTTGAACCAGCGCTCTCATAGGAGATCCTGGCACCGCAGGCGGGGGCTTAGCCCCCTGCGCCACAACGCCGGCTGCTGTCTGTCCATGTTTAGCCAGCGCGAGACCCCGCGATCTTCTTCTACGGTCTCCATCCGTCAGCTTTTTGTCACTGCAGCCAAAACACCCGACAGGAGCTTCTTGGGGGGAAGAAGGCTGATTTTGGCTCACGGTCCACGACGGGGCTGCCCCGTCGACTCAGACACCCGGGGAGGCCAGACAGGAAGCAGAGACTGAGATAACCCCCTTCCCAGCGAGCTGAAGACCCCCCAGCAGCCACACCGCCCGAGTGCCTTCCTCAGGTCAAGAGTCCACCTCTAATCCATCCGCTATTAGCGTGAATCCATTAACGTCTGCAGGAGTCGGGGGTGGGGGCAGACTGGTCCGAGCCCCGTGGGCAGCACTGGCCCCAGCGAATGTTCAGAATCCGAAGGGAGTCCCGTCCCAGGTCTCCTGGTATCTTCTTTTTTTTCTTTTTTCTTTTTTTCTTTTCTTTTTGACAGGCAGAGTGGACAGTGAGAGAGACAGACAGAGAGAAAGGTCTTCCTTTGCCATTGGTTCACCCCCCAATGGCCACTGCGGCCGGCACGCTGTGGCCAGCGCACTGCGCTGATCCAAAGCCAGGAGCCAGGTGCTTCTCCTGGTCTCCCATGGGGTGCAGGGCCCAAGCACTTGGGCCATCCTCCACTGCACTCCCGGGCCACAGCAGAGAGCTGGCCTGGAAGAGGGGCAACCGGGACAGAATCCGGCGCCCCGACCAGGACTAGAACCCGGGGTGCCGGCGCCGTAGGCGGAGAATTACACTAGTGAGCCGTGGTGGTCGGCCCTGGTATCTTCAAACACCAGGCCTTTCTCCAGGTAGGAGGCCCTGTGGCGAAATCTAAAACCGGGCTCCAGGCCCCGTGTCGCTCTCTTTCTTTCCTCCCCCTCTCCCCTCCCCCACTCCCCAGACCCTGGATTTCCCACTTATTTCTGAGGCCGAGAGGGAGCTCTGTCTTTTGTCTCTTGTGTCTCCTGCTAATCCACAGCCCCAAACCGGACAAGGCTGCAGATGCAGCTCTCAGGCGCAGGTTTCCCACCACACGCCCATCACATTCGTCCCCCTCCCCCACCCATGGCCAGTGCAGGAACTCTCAGAAAAACAGGGGTGCGCGCCAGTGGACGCGGGCCTCGTGCCTGCTGCCCGTCTTTCTCACCATCCACACCGGCTTGCTCCCCAGGCTGTGGGTTCGTTCGCCCAGGTGTATCCACACCGGGACCTCAGCGTCTTGCTGGGATCAGATGCCCAGAGCAAGGGCCGCTGGGAGCCTCAAGTACTGACCGCTGCGTGCGCCTCGGCCCCCGGGTGCTTCCTGCCGGGGCTGCCAGGGGCTAGGAGCGGCCTCCTTCCCCGCGCTGTGCTGCAGCAGGGCGGGGCGGGGGGGGTGGGGGACACAGTAGCTGCTGGCTTGAGGCTGCCCGCGTGCCCAGGCAGGAAGCCGCTGGCCCCGGCTGCCTCTCTGTGCCCCGCAACCTGGAAGAGCAGATGCTGCCGCTCCCCTGTCCCAGGGTCTTTGTCAGGTAGAAACCCGGGGTTGCAGACGTTTTGGGAAGAGGCTGAGCAGGGCAGGGGCATCGGCCTTGGCGCCAGCGTGTGAGCACCTCCCACGCCCGACCCCGGCCGAGCAGCCCGACCTGTGGAGACCCAGGGCTAGGATTTGAAATACCTGGATTTCTCCTCCCGTCGCTTCCAGCATTTAAGAGGTGTTTCTGGGCAAGCTCCCCTTACTAGAAATCTGGGGCCGCTCCTGACTTTTCCACAACCTCCCTGAAGTCTTACTGGGAGACCAGAAGGTTCCAGAACCTTCCCCTTGGACTCCGGAGAGGCTCACTGCCCCGACGCTGCGGGCTTGCCCTGACTTCAGGCTGCTCCGTGCAGGACGGCTGTGCCTGCCTCGCTGTTTTACGGCAGCCGCGCGGCCCCGGTGCACAAACAGCGCGTTGTTTTATTCTCTGCTCTCCAAAAGGCATAAAGCAGGCAGGCCCGGGGGCCGCCGTGGGGCGCAAAGTCTGCTGGGCCTGCGGGCCTGTCTGTCATCGGCTCGCTACAGATGGGGCCGCGCCACACTTGGTGGGATCTGAGCAGCTCCGGGCGGGGGGGCTGGCTGGGGAGCTGCGCCTCCAACAGCTTCTGTCTGGATGAGTGTTCACTGGGCACCCAGAGGGAGAGAAGTGATTTCTCTGCAGTCAGAGAAGAATCTGCAAAGGGAGAAGCCTCCGCCCCCCGGGGAGCGGCCTGAGCTCTTTAAGGAACAGGAGCCCACGCGGCCTGACCCGAGCCAGCGCTCCAGGACCCCCTGAGCAGGGGAGAAGAAGGGCTGGGGCACCCCTGACTGGGAGCCGGGCGCATCCTCACCACTGCCTCCTTCCACTGGCGGATGGCGGGTCGGACCTGGAGATCGGGCCGGAGACAAGCAGTTGGAAACGCGAGGCCCTGGAGAGAGATTCCGCAGGGGAGGCAGCACCACGCGGCCTGCGGCAGGGCACCCAGGCCAGAAGGTTCCTTCTTCCTCACACCTGCAAGGGGCTGCGCCCCGCCCTGTGCAGGTGAGCTGACGTTCCCAAGGGGGATGCGAGTCCCAGGAAGGGGTCAGCGCCATCCGCCATCCCACGCGTCCGTTCTTCCAGGGCCGTGCTACTCCCTTGCTTGGTGGGCGGCGTCTCTGCTGCCCCCTTGACTCTGGACAGGCCCCTGCCGTCCTGTGACCAGCACAGTGGGACAGGATGTGGCCAGGTGTCTTCCACAGCGGAGCCCAGAGAGGCAGCACTGTGCGCCCGGTCAGCTCTCCCTCCCGGAGCCCCAGCTTCCTGGTGCCGCCATACGTGGAGGAAGCCCAAGCCACCGTGAGGCAGAGGGGCTGCACGGGGCCGGGCTCCTGTGTGAACCAGGCCTGGCCGCAGCCAGTCAGCCCACCTACCGCATACAACCCAGCGGAATGATGGCGGTTTCGGCTCCTTATGTTTGGGGGTAGCTGTTAGGCAACAATGGACAAACTGAGCTTTGCAGAACAAATATTAAGATTTATGTATTTATTTGAAAGTCAGAGTTACAGAGAAAGACGGCGACACAGAGGGGTCTCCCATCTGCTGCTTCACTGGGGCTGCGCCAGGCCGAAGCCAGGAGCCAGGAGCTGCGTCCAGGTCTCCCGCGTGGGTGCAGGGGCCCAAGCACTTGGAACAGCTGCTGCTTTTCCCAGGCCACGCAGGGAGCTGGATCGGAAATGCAGCAGCTGAGGCCCGAGCCAGCTGGCATCACCGGCGGCAGCTGTACCCACGACGCCAGGACACCGGCCCCTGCAGAAGAAATGTAGGGACTGTAACAGAATGTCACCCTCCGTGGGCCTTCTCCTGCTTCTACGCTCTCCCAAATTTCAGTATGATCAAAAATCAGCGTCCCAAAAACATCGCTGAAGGATCTGTGGTCTCCTCCCCTTGGTGATGTTTTGACATTTTCAATATTAAACATTTCACTACACTTATACTTCCCTTCCACGGAGAGTTCACGTCTGAGTGTGTGGACACAGCACACGCCATGTTAATAATGGGACCCACAGTCTACACCGCCGGCCATGTGTTCGGAGATCTTTGGGTCCTGAGGTCACACCTGGCCGTGGTGGGTTCTAAGGACTGAGTCCAGGAGAGACGCTTTGGGGTTGGCAGCGACAGAAAACCGGCACCTTGGACGGACGTGAGCTCACCCACCGGGCTTTGTTTCTCCGGCCTACGTCCTTGCTGTTGCACTTCGGGCAGAGACACGGCCCTGAACTCGCAGAATGGGCCTTCCGGCACCCGCTCTCCAACGGGGCCTGCACCCGGGGCAGCACACCCTGCTCCCAGGCACGAAGCAAGAGGGGCAAGCGACCAAAACCTAAGGGGTAGCAGCTCTCCTCCAAGCCTCGCCTTCCTGACGCCTCCGCCGCCTGGGCCCGAGGAGAGGCTGCGCTGCGAGTGGCCGCGGGCACGGGAGACTCGGGGCCGCTGGGAGGAGAGGCCTGTCGGGACTTTGTTCTGGGCGCTGCCCCCTGTGCTCCCCACAGTCGGAACGTGTCGGCCAGCAAGTCTCGGCACAGGGGGAGGGTCAGGGTGGGGCCCGCGGGGAGGGGACTGGCTTCTGCCTCCTGGTGTTTATGCATGGAAGGGAACAGAGGGAACACACATCACACACAGTCACACACTCAGACACTCACACATGCACACAGGCCCTCACACATGCACCCACACAGTCACACACACAGTCACACACACACACTGTCACACACATCACACACTCACACATGCACACAGGCCCTCACACACACTCACACAGTCACACACACAGTCACACATACACACACATCACACTCACATATGCACACAGGCCCTCACACACACACTCACACAGTCACACATACACACTATCAACCTAATACACACACACACTCTCACCCATGCACAGGATCTCACACATTCACACACACGGTCACACACACTCACCCATGCACACACCACACACACACCTCAGTCACACACACTCATGCACACACCACACACACCTCAGTCACACTCACACACACACACTCTCACCCATGCACACACCACACACACACCTCAGTCACACACACACTCTCACCCATGCACACACCACACACACACACTCACCCATGCACACACCACACACACACCTCAGTCACACTCACACACACACTCTCACCCATGCACACACCACACACACACACTCAGTCACACACACACTCACAACCTAATACACACACTCACCCATGCACAGGATCTCACACACCACACACACACACACACTCAGTCACACTCTCACCCATGCACACACCACACACACACTCAGTCACACACACACTCTCACCCATGCACAGGATCTCACACACACACACACACACTCTCACCCATGCACACACCACACACACACACACTCAGTCACACACACACACTCTCACCCATGCACACACCACACACACACACTCAGTCACACTCCCACACACCCCAGTGTGTTCTCTGCCGCCCCCCCAGCACCCCCGGCTCTCCTTCACCTGCCCTCTTGGCGTTTCCCAGACTGACTGACAGCCGCCAGGACCCCGGTGATCCGGTTTGCACCTGCCAGAAGTGCAGGGTGGGGCTTGCATTCAGAGCCGAGGGTGGTGGGCGGAGAGGGGGTCCTGAGAGGCTCCCGCAGGCGCAGGGGAGCCCGGGGTCCCTCCCAGACGGGCGGCTTCTGTGGGCTTCTAGGGGTACGGAGCTGTCCTGGGCACTCTTCTGGACTCATGGTCCCCGGCGACGGTGTGGGTGATTTAGCGACGGGAGCCGCGTCCTTCTGAGCTGGCCGGGGTGACCCTGCTCCCCGGCCCTGCTCTGCCCGCGGCCATCAGCCTCTCCACGCTCCCCTCCTGGGCCAGGACAGGGGCTTCAGGTCTCTGGGCCTGGGCTTCTCCTCTCTAAACGAGGCTGTTGTGTGCCCGAGTAGGAAGCTCATGGAAACAGCTCCACCTGGGGCGTGACTCCGCAGCCTCAGAACATTCAGGAACAATGCAGGAGAGGGGCACCTGGGGCGGGCGGGCGGAGAGACACCCTGGTGTGCAAAGAAGGCCCGCGTTCTCAGCGGTGGCAAGAAGGTGCCCCAGCGGGGCCTGGGCGGAGGCCTTGTGAGTCCTGTCTGCCTCCTGCACGCACCTGTTAGCCCTGGGGGTCTCGGGCTAAGTTTCAAACCTGTTTCATTTCCTTTAGCTCCTAGGGTACAACTCGCCACAGGAGAGCTTCAGAATGTGCCGCATGGAGAACACTAAGTGCAGGACATGGCCCTGGAGCCGGTTCCTCGGGTCGCCCTCCATGAAACGGCGGCGCGTGCCCAGCCTCTGCTGGACGGGGTGTGGCGTGTGCCCAGCCTCTGCTGGACGAGGTATGGCGCGTGCCCAGCCTCTGCTGGACGAGGTATGGCGTGTGCCCAGCCTCTGCTGGACGAGGTATGACATGTGCCCAGCCTCTGCTGGACGGGGTGTGGCGCGTGCCCAGCCTCTGCTGGACGGGATGCATGCACCCCTGTCATTGCAGCCTCTGCTCTCCTGCAGGAAGCAGACACGAGGAGCCCAGCCCCACGCTGATGGTCGGTAGGAAGAGCGTGTGGGGGCAGTGGGGGCCGGTCTGTGAGCCAGAGAGCGTTTTCCTGGGGACACCGTGCCTGCACTGAGGCCTGGGAGGGAGAGGGCTGGAGACGCCAGCCTGCAGGTGGGGGGCTGCTGATGAGTCTCAGACCTGCTGGGAATGGACACGCAGCGACAGGTGCACATGTCGGGGAGAACCTGCGGGTCTTGCTCCGGTCGCCCTGGCCTCCGGCTGCAGGAGGGCACCCTTGGGAGGAACACGGAAGATGAAGGAGACCCGCTGGTTGGCCAGCTTCTCCTCGGTGACACTCTGATGACCGGTCTCTGTGCCCACCACAGCTCTACCGCAGGTCCCTGGGAACGGGAGGCGGCGTCTCTGTACCGTGGAGAAGCTCAGGGAGTGGCAGCAGCAGCACGGCCAGCCCTGGACGCTTAGTGAATGGGAAGGCACACACACACACACACACGTGTGGCCCCACACATGCACACGCGTGTGCACACACATACATGAAATCCCCTTATTAAAGAAATGTAGGGAATCCTCAGAGGCGTCTCCGGTCGGTTTTTCTTCACATCTGATTGAAATACACACATGGAAATGCGCCAACCTCGCCATGTACAGCTTGATGACTTCTCCCACACTGAGCACACTTGGGTCCACAAGCAAAGCGTCACCCACACTTCAGAGCCAACCCCAGTCCCTCCTCAGCCCCCCCACACCCCCCAACCCAAGACAACCGCCGGCTGGACTTCCTGTAGTGGTGCTTAGATTTGCCAGGTTTAAAAAACAAACTTTCGTTCCACATTTGGTTGGAGTTCATCGCGTTTTGTATAGCTGTCGTTTGCTCGTTCCAGCGCTGTGTGCTATTCCGGCCACTCTGGCATATTCTCCGTACCTGGTCTCTGGATGGGCACCGGCAGAGTTTCCAGTTCAGTGTGAGTACAGTGTCGCTGTGGACCGTCTAACGCGGTCTCCCGGCTGCTGCTGTGTCCGCCCCGGGAAGCCCTGGGTCCTTCACGTAGCTGCAGCAAACAGCTTCCTGAAGGGACGGCGCGTTCACTCTGCGGGCGGTAGGGGTCTCCTCGGTCCCTCTCGCTGAGCAGTAGCCGCGTTGCATCTGGGTTTCGATTTGAGTCTCTCTGAGGACTGATTAAGCTGGAGGCTGGGTTTCCTCCTGCGGCGAAGGCTTTGCTGTGCCTGCTGCCTGTGCGATGCAGTGGGATCCGAGCGGAACTGGTGCCGGGGCCGCTGGCACACATGGTCCTGGGAAGACCCAAAGGATGCACCGGGCCACCCTAGCCTCCCACGGAGCGGCTTCCCAGCCCCCAGACAGAACCTGACCCTAATGGGCACCAAAGTATTTGTGCAATGATCCTGTGGTGTCTCCCTATAAGAATCTCCCACGCAACGTCGTTTCCTGCAAGAACCTTTTCTCCATTTACCACTTGAGAGGGTCGACACAGACCTAGACCACGACTTGACAGGGAGCCTGGCGTCCTGTAAGCTGGACTTGAAAACCACGCCACTCTCCCGCTGTGGGGTGCCCCTGTTTGCCTCCGAAACATGATGATCCCAAGGGCAAAGCAGGGAACATCGCAGGCCTACAGACCAGGTAGGACAGCGCGGTGCTGGGCCGTTTCACAGAGCGTCGGGCACAAGGGCGCCCCCAGCGGGTGCCAGCGGCCGTCAGCCCCACCCACCACGGTGGTCTGGTCACAGCCTGGTGAGCACTCCTGCTTTTCCACCATGAGACCGGCTCTGCGTCTCCATGAGGATCCCATCCCCCGACCGGGGACAGAGGGAGACAGGCGCCATTCACAGAGAGCAGGGCTCACGGCTTACCTGGATGCACCTCCCCAGCCCCAGGCTCTGTCTTACGAAGGGAGAGAACGCAGAGTGAGGTGGAGAGTAGGAGAGAGGGCGCCTTCTCTCCAGGCGGAGGGACACAGAGACTTGGGACCACGCTCCAGGATGGGATTTACTGACCCCACTTTGCAAATGAGGAAAAGGGAACTCAAAGAGATCAAGGAATACACGCGAGCTCACGGGGCCAGTAAATCAGGGAGCCCCGGTCCGTGGGAGCCCAGCCCCCAGGCCTCCCCCAGCCCACCCCTCCACGTCGGCGTTGCCGGCGCTCTAAATCTCCAGCTCCAAACACTCGCTCGTGCACGGCTGAGAACCGGAATCGAATCCTCGCCCCCGTGGGAAGGCTGGAAGAGCGGGGCTCCTGCGACACTGCCCCCGGCGCACGGTCCGTGCGGCTCCCCTTCCACCTGGCTTCCAGCTCTGAGTCAGTCTCGGAGCCACTAAGCTGAATTCCCAGGGCCCTCTTCAGACACAGAAATTCCAGCCATAAATAGCAGAACGGCTAGACCAGATTAAACTTGCCAAAGTGATTTGAGCCGAGCTGAGAGACATGGAGCCCCTTGAAACGAGGCGCTGTCAGCCGGCAGGAACCTCACTCAGCCTGGAAGCCAACCTTCCAGCCTGCTGTTTGACAGGCAGGACACACGGCGCGGAGCAGGCTCGGCCACGCCCGGTATCCATGCGGGGCGTGGATACCGCGAGCTGCGCTTCATTGACTGTTCGTTCTCTCGCTCTTTTTATTATTATTATTTTTTCCAATGAAACGATCGTGTGGGGATTTCCCGATTTTGACGCTGGCCTGTCTGGGAGCTGACTGATGACTGTGGGGCCCTGAGCTCAGGACCGGAGCAGGGAAGGGGAGTGGAGTGGGAGTGTGGGAGAGGAACGCAGCACGGGGTCCAGGGCGCAGACACGGGCGGCGGCTTCGTCTCCGTTTCTGCTCCGCTTTTCTTACTTGGAAAACAAACGCTATGGGGGCTCCCATATTTCTTGAAGGAACTGCTGTAGATTTCTTTTAATACTCCCAGAAGTTCTGGTGCAGGTCCGCTCAAGGCCTCTGGTTCCTGGAGGCAGACACAGCCCCCCCCCCACCCCAAGCAGCCACGCGCCCTCTCTGTGGTGGCTCCTGGGCTTACCTGGGCTCTGAAGAAGCCGCAGCACGAAGGCACTGTGTCGGCCAGCAGGCCACCTCCCCTTGGCCCCAGGTGGGTCACTCCGTGTCCACAGCCTCCCGACGCCGGGGGACCCCCAGCCGGCGGGGCCGTCCTCTGTCCTTTCAGCTCCTACTTGGTGCTGTCCCCAGCATTGTGTGTCACAACAGCTCCGGGCACTCGGTATCGATTTGGTCTTTGTTCCCCCAGCTGTCAGCCAGGAGCCCTCTCGTGTGCAGGCGAGCGGGGTCGCACAGGCTGCTGCTTGCTGTGGGCTGCCTGTCTGGGCCCGACAGCCCCCTCGCTCTCTCCTCCCCGCCTCTTCCCCCCACCCCTGCTGTCTGTTTTTTAATCAAAATCCTTTTCCAGTTTCCCCGAGACAACACGCTTCTAAGGCTGTAGTCTTTCTGCCGCCCACGTAATGGACTTCTTTAGCGGTTGCAAGAGTAGGAAACCCTAGCCGATCACGCTGGTTGCATTGCTCTAGCCTAACCCTTGGCTCCTGCCCCGGCTCCACTGTTCCCATGTAGGAGATGCTCGGCCACACTTCCTTCCTTGGCAGACACCTGTGGAGAACAGCTCAGCGCAGGCACCGGCACCCACTCACCCTACGTCTTTGACGATTTGGGGGGTGTGTTCAGCAGGGGGACTGTACGATGAGGTGCTGCGTCTCTGAACCCCGACAGGGCTCACCTGGGCAAGGCGGAGCTGTGGGGCGACGGGTGAGGTGGGCACAGCTGGACGCCCCCTCCCCCTCCGATCGACCTGAGACAGCTGGAGCTGAGAGGCAGGTCACGGGGGAAGCAGGTGGCGATGGCCTGTCGTGGAAAGGCCGAGACTCCGTGCGGTCTGAGGGATTATTCTGGAAGCTACTGGGCTGGACTCGTGGCTCTGAGAGCAGCCACGGGCAAGTTCTACTGAATTTCAACATCCAAACCGGCAGCCACAGCTGTCAGTCAAGGGCTCTTGCGGGGGACATCCTTTAAAACGCTGCCCCTTGTCTTCATGCCGTGAGACCCAAGGCCCCCGGGATGACTGATCCTGCAGGTGGTCCCAAGCCCCAGATAACACCTCTCCCCAGATGCCACCCGGCATCGCCACAGCGCCAGGGCCACCGTGTCCCTCGCTGTCTGCCTGTGTTCCTCCTGCATCCTTACTCCTGCACTGTTAGATACACACAGCGCTGTGGTTCCGTGCAAGTTCACGGCTACTCAGTAACTGACACAAGGGTAGCATATGTGGCAGGGACACATTGGAAAGATGATGGCTCAGGACCCACCACGCAGGATGGCACAAGATTCCATCAAGCTACTCGGGATGGCACACAGCATAAAATGTATGCATTGGGGACCAGCGCTGTGGCTTAGTGGGTAAAGCCACTGCCTGCAGCGCCGGCATCCCTTATGGGCGCTGGTTGGAGTCCCGGCTGCTCCATTTCCAGTCCAGTTCTCTGCTTTGGCCTGGGAAAGCAGTAGAAGATGGCCCAGTCCTTGGGCGCCTGCACTCATGTAGGAGACCCAGAAGAGACTCCTGGCTTCAGATCGGCACAGCTCCAGTCATTGCGGCCATCTAGGGAGTGAACCAGCAGATGGAAGATTCTCTCTCTGACTCTGCCTCTCTGTAACTCTGCCTTTCAAATAATCAAATAAATCTTTAAAAAAATAAAATAAAAGGTGTGGATTACTTATTCTGGAATTTTCCACTTATTCTTTTTGAACTATGACTGACCAGGAGTGGCTGGGACCTCAGGAAGTGAAGCTGCAGCCATGGGGGCGGGGGGGGGGTCCTGCGTCAGGTGTCTGGGGACGGCCAAGGGGTGCTCCAGGGCGAAGGGCTCCCACCTGGACCACGGGCTGGGGCCGCACTTGGCAGCCCCTAACAGATGCAGAGTGGATCAGCGACCCCTCCATTCCCCTCCCCCACTCCCACCCGAGCTCAGCGGCTGCTCCTTTCCGAGGGCTTGGAGCACCCTGGGAGAGCCGAGTAGGGGTGTGGGGCCCATCAGTCCCAGGAGCCTGGACCTAGCCTTGGTGTGGGCCACTGGGTCACCATCAGAGGGGGGTTCTCAGGCCTTGCTGACCTGACAACCTCTGACCCTGGGTATTCGCTGGGTGTCAAAGTGCCTTTGCCACTTGGGGTGAGCTCTGAAGGGAACTGCATCCCTAAGCCTTAGAAACAAACGCATCTGCGTTTCCAGTGGACTAGACACAGGCAGGCTGCAGCTGTTCCCCGCATTCCAGATAGGAGAGTAGGGCTCGCAGCCAAGCTGGCGGCTGAACCGTCAGACGCAGTGGCTCACTTAGCGTGATGTCATCCTGCCTAACCTAAGGAGACCCAGGTAACTGAGGGATATTTGCAAGCACCTGGTTTGGCCAGGAGCAGGTGGTGGGTCCAGGGTCTGGGTTGCAAACCTTGCTTGGTGACTTTTTCCCAGAGTGCCAGTCACCTCTCGCAGTGAGCTACGTCACCATGGTCAAGTTCAACATTCACCTGTGGGAAAACACCAGGGTCCAGCTTCACCAGAGGGGAGGCTCGACCAGGGTGTCTGAGGGTCCTGTTAGAAGACATCCTTAGGCTGAGTCACCCTGGGAGATGCGGGATTTTAAGGGGGGACACATCACCCAGCCCAGTGACAAGAAAGCATTTGCCACGGTTGGTTTCAAGTGAGGTGGGCATTTCCACTCATGGACAAGTGAGCTCAGGGCACGAAGGTGCGTCCCCACCCACCTCACTCGGGGGTGTCTGTTGGTCTTTATCGCTGTCTTCCTAGGATTGGCAATGAGACGTCATGTTCTGAGTTCGGGCTCTGGGACGGTGGTGATTCCCCACGGCCCGGCTGTGTCCCCTGGGCAGGGAGCACGAATGTCAATGCTGACCACCCTTCACCCCAGACTGCCTTGTGGCCCCTGCTCGGTGCCCAGCGAGGTCCTCCTTGTGCACCACTCACCAGTGGCCACAGGCCGGCCACGTCCACGGCCTCCATCTGCAGGCAAACAGCCTTGACAAGGAAGGGAAACAGGTCCCAGCGTCTCTCGCCAAAGCCCCCGACGCACCAGCAGCCCCCGTGTTCCTTTGGCGCGGTTGTTGGAAACTTAAGAGGGTGGGAGACTGATAAGCAAAGTTCTCGCTTAATTAAAAGCACATTCGCGAAAGGTCAGCCTGGCAGGGGAATGACAGAGCACTTAGCGCTGTCAACTCAAGTCGCGCTCTCCTGGGAGATTCCTTCCAGAGCCCGGCGGCCCGCGATGCTGCGCTCCCTCTCCCAGCAGAGCCGGCGGCACCCGGGGTCGGGGTGAGCCGAGGGCGGGCTCCCTCTTGGTCTCCGAGAAGCGGGACTGCGGCCCCCACGGCCACGCCCCCTGGAGAGCCCGTGGCAGGGATGAGGCAACGCTGGAATGCCCAGCATGGGCCGGCGCGCGCCTCGGTCAGGGCGGCTTCCTCCGCTGTCACCGCGGAGGAGCCGGCACAGGACCTGCTCGCAGGCGGATTTCCACGGGGACCTGAGGGCCGTCTTCCTCACTCTCGAAAAGGAACCCTCACTGCAGAAGGCAGACCCAGGGTCCCCGGGGACATGGCAGGAGGGCAGATGTCTGATTAGCAGAAGGTCCCAGCACCTGGCACCGTTCAAACAGGAGGTGGGGGCAGGGCGGGGTGGGGGTGCTCACTCAGCCCTCCCACCCCTGGCTGCTGCAGGCAAAGGAGAGGACCCCCTGCTGACACTGGAGCCGGGTCCTGCGTGGGAGCCGCCAGGGGACTAAATGAGCACCTGCTCAGGAGTTGAAGTTCTTTGATTCTGAAGGCAGCCATTTCGGCCAGCAGTTAAGATGCCCACGTCCCCTGGCAGAGAGAGTGCCTGGGGCCGGGGCCTGGCCTTGCCCCTGATTCCAGCTTTTTTCTAACGTAAGCTCTGGGGGGCAGCAGTGACGGCTCAAGGAAGCGGGTCCCGGCCTCCCATGTAGGAGGCCTGGGTTGAGTTGCCCACTCCTGTCCAAGCCCAGCTCTCATGGACATGTCAGGAGGGAACTAGCAGATGGGAGCACCCTCTCTCTCTCCCTCTAATAAAAATAAACTATTCACTAAAATTTGAAAAGCTGATTCCCGTTGCTCTCAGACACTCTGTAGGAAATGGGCCTTGCTGAGACGCGTGGAGACCCGCGGTTCTCGTGGCTTCACCTCCTGTCTGTGACATCCTTTTCCGAACGAGAGCCCATTCGATCAAGCAAAGACCTCCTGACGCTGGCTGCTGGCCGGGGAGCGTCGTGGTTCTCCTGTGAATCACTGTTATCCGAGCCCACGGCCGAGCGCTCGCTCCCAGTGCCAAGAAGAACAATCAGCCAAGGGGAGTGTTTCTTAAATACAAGTGATGTTTCCAGTTGGCAACACACAGATTATTTTTGCTACGAGGGAAATTGATTTCTTAAGACATGGTGATTAATTATGTCTGTAAAACAGAAAATCCATCAAAGACAACGTTTCTCCCTTTAGAAAACTCTTGCAAATTCCCGCAGTGTCGGTGAGTAGGTACAGCACTCTATCCGTAGGCACCTGCCTCCCGAGATATGTCTGGGCGTACTGTGCACTTCGTCTTCCTCTGATAAGATGGGGTGGGCGTGGTGCGCAGCACAGCCCTGCTGGTTCTTGACCTGCTCCACCGAGGGAGCCCCCCCCGGGGGGGGAATAATACAAGATGGCTCCCTGTGCAGTCTGAGAGAGACCTGCTGCAGGCCAGACCCCACGTCCACCAGTGTCAGCCCCGCCACTGCTAACTGCCCGGCCCAGGCAGAACCACAGGCTCCCCCGCTCCGTCAGCTGTGCAGTGGTGCCGCCAGGACTGTGCAGGACACAGCCCGTCTGTGGCCCGTCCGTGGCAGCCCTGCTACCCCCTCTTTCCCCTGGAGGACTGCCGCTGCCTCCCAGCCAGCCAGCTTCAACCTCTCCCTATCTCTGTTTATTCTCAAAACATTGGGCGCAGGGATTCTGGTAAGACCCAAGTCAGACTCCCAGGCTCAGGCCCCCGGGGATTCTCACTAACCAGAGTCCTCAGGTGGCCTCGGAGAGGACTCAGTCCAGCCCCCCACTGCCTGGCTGGCCTCATATTCGACCTCTCCCTACTCATCCAGCCCAGCTGTTGGGCTTTCTCTCCAAAGCCGGCCCTGGTGTCTCTGCCGGGAACTCTGCTGCCACGAACATCTCCGTGGCTGGCTCTCTTGCCTATTTAAAGTCTTCCGTGCAAATGTCACCGTCTTAGAGGAACAGCTCCCAAATCT